GGACTTAGACCCCAGGCTCGAAGAGGAAGTGGGGGTGGGAGCGAGGGGCCAGAGAGGACGAAAAAGGCGCCCAAGAGTCAATGCGACAGCAGCAGTGAAACGACAAAGAAGGAAGAGGACGACACCAAGAGAAACAGGATGAGGAAAGAGCGTGGCTGCTATCTCCCAGGTGGCACGCTGGACAAGCAGCGCGGCCCGCGCCATGTCGCTCGCTCCAGAGGATCAGCCCTTTCATAGTAATCGAGGACAAAGCGAGCGAGGCCGACCTCGCCAACCAGGTTCTCCGCCTCCCTCCTTTACCCATGCAGCGCGGGAGCTAAACGCCCTCAGGCCGCAGGCGCGCCGCCAGGTTCTCGGGACCCGCGAGAAAGGAAATCAATGCGAACCTGAATCCGCGAAGGACGTCACTACGTAGGTACCCCAGCAGCCCTCGAAAGAGGCTACACATTCGCATATCGCAGCCCCACATACATGGCGAGGTTTAGTTTAGGTTTGCCTGGGACGTCACTCCACTGAACCCCCCAGCAGCCGTCGAGAGTGGCGACAGTTTCGCAGATCGCAGCCCCCCAGCGGTGGCAATGTCTTATGTTGGTTTGCATGGGGCGTTATTCCGCTGGACACCCCAGCAACCTTCGAAAGTAACGACAGCCTCGCAGACCGCAGCCCCCCAGGGATGGCGAGGTCTTATGTATGTTTGTCTGGGACGTCGCTCCGCTGGGGCCCAAGCAGCCCCCCAGAGTGGCGACAGTTTCGCAGATTGCTGCCCCCCCAGGGATGGCGAGGTAATGTTGACGTCTGCGTGCGGCGTCACCCCGCTGGGCCCCCCAGCAGCCCCGAAAGTTGCGACTGCTTCGCAGATCGCAGCCCCCCAGTGATGGCGAGGTCTACTTTAAGCCTGCGTGGGTTGCCCCATTGGACCCCCCAGCAACCTTTGAAAATGGAGATGGTTTCGCAGATCGCACCCCCCCCCCAGGGATGGCGAGGTTTGAGTTAGGTTTGCGCGTGGCGTCACTCCCTGGAAACCCCCGCAGCCTGCGAGAACGGCGACCGTTTCGCAAATCACAGCGTCCCAGCGGCACCGATGTCTAATTTAGGTTTGCGTGAGGCGCCATTGCGTTGAACCCCCCAACAGCCCCCGAAAATGACGACAGTTTCGCAGGGCGGCGAGGTAAGGGGCAAGCTGGCAGGCAGGTACAAGCCAGGTTGAAGGCAGGAGAGAAGAGGCGGGAGGAGGGTAGGAAGGAAGAGGGGAGGTGGGAAGGAAGGAAGGAAGGAAGGACGCAGGAGGTTTGGGGAAAACATAGAGACGGCCTTTGCGACGTACCCAACCCATTCGCACGAAGTGACAATAGGAGCTAGCCCAGAACAGTTCGGCTGATGACAACACAGGATCTGTCATTGGTTACGCAAGCTATATGAGAAGCGTGCGCGCTGCGCGACTCACAGGGCAGCGAAGAAGGACGCGGAATGAGGCCCCAGGCTCGAAGAGGAAGTGGGGGTGGGAACGAGGGGGCGGAAAACGACGAAAAAGGCGTCCAAGAGTCAATGCGACAGTAGCGGCGGCCTTCAAAGTAGGAAGAGGACGACACCAAACGAAACAGGATGACGAATGAGCGTGGCGGCTATCTCCCAGGTGGCACGCTGGACAAGCAGCGCGGCCCGCGCCATGTCGCTCTGGCGCTCCAGAGGATCAGCTGTTCATAGTAAGTGGACGAGGGCAAAGCGACCGAGGCCGACCTCGTCAACCAGGTTCTCCGCCTCCCTCCTTTACCCATGCAGCGCGGGAGCTAAACGCCCTCAGGCCGCAGGCGCGCCGCCAGGTTCTCGGGACCCGCAAACAAAAAAGACTATGCGAATCTGAATCTGCGATTCACAGGAGACCAAAAAATGATGGGGACTGGGGCCCCGTGCTCGAAGAGGAAATGGGGGTGGGAACGAGGGGCCAGAAAAGAACGGATGAGGGGCCGAACAGTTAACGCGGCAGCAGGAGTGAGGCGGCGAGATAGGCAGAGGACGGTCACAACATGAGCAGGATGAAGAAGGACGGTGGTTGCCAGTCCCCCTTGGCACGTTGGACAAGCAGCGCGGCCCGCGCCACCCCGCGAAGACGCGAGCGAGGCCGACCTCGCCCACCAGGTTCCCCGCTTCCTCCCCGCACCGCGCAGCGCGGGGGCCCAACGCCGTCAGGCGCGCTGCCAGGTCTGCGGGGCCCGTGGCAAGGGAGAAACCGAAGCGAATCTAGATCCGCGCACGATGTTTTGGACCCCCTCGGCAGGCCTCGAAAGAGGCCACCGTTTCGCGGAGTGCAGCCCCCCGAGAACGGGTATATCTAGTATAGGTTTGCGTGGGACGTCACTCCGCTGTACCCCCCCAGCTGCCTCCGAAAGAGGCCAGGCTTCGCAGACCGCCGCCCCCCAGGGGTGGCGGGGTCGAATTGACATTTGTTCGCGTGGGGCGTCACTCCGCTGGACACCACAGCAGCTTTCGAAAGCGGCGACACTTCGCAGATGGCACCGCCCCAGGGACGGCGAGGTGTAATTTAAGCTTGCGTGGGGCGTCACCCCCGCAACCTTCGAGAGCGGCGACAGTTTCGCACATCGCAGCCCCCCAGGGATGGCAAGGTCAAGTTTGGGTTGGCGTGGGGCGTCGATCCGCTGGACCTCTCAGCAGCATTCGAAAGTGGCGATAGTTTCGCAGATCGCAGCCCCCCAAGGATGGCGAGGTCTTAGGTTTGCGTGCGGCGTCAAACCGCCGGACCACCCAGCAACCCTCGAAAGTAGCGGCAATTTTACATATCGCAACCCCCCAGGGATGGCGAGGTCTGATGTAAGTTTGCGTGGGGCGTCGTTTCGCTCGACCCCCCAGCAGACCCTCAGGGACGGCGAGGTCAAATTCGAGTATGCGTGGGGCGTCCTTCCGCTGGACCCCCAGCAGATTTCGAAAGTGGCGACAGGTTCGCAGATCGCAGCCCCCCAAGCATGGCGAGGTCCAATGTTTGTTTGCGTGGGACGTCGTTCCGCTGGACCCCCAGCAGCCCTCGAAGGTGGCGACACATTTGCAGAGCGCAGCCCCCCAGTGATGGCGAGGTTTAGTTTAGGTTTGCGTGGGACGTCACTCCGCTGGACCCCCTGCAGCCCTCGACAGTGGCGACACTTCGCAGATCGCAGCGCTCCAGGGACGGCGAGGTGTAATTTAAGCCTGCGTGGGGCGTCACTCCGTCGCACCCCTTCTGCACCCCTCGAAGGTGTCAACAGTTTAGCAGATGGCACCCCCCCGAGGGATGATGAGGTTTAATATGAATACGCGTAAGACGTCACCATGCTGGAACCCCCAGCAGCCTTCGAAAGTGGCGACTGTTTCGCAGATCGCAGCCCCCCAGCGGTGGCGAGGGCAAATTTAGGTTTGCTTGGGGCGTCACTCCACTCGTCCCCCCAGCAGCCATCACAAGTGGCGACAATTTTGCAGATCGCAGCCCTCCATGGAGGGTGACAGCGCTGCAAGAGGCAGGCAGGAGGGAAGAGAGGAGGAGGGAGGCGGGCAGGAGAAAGTGTGCGACCGCAGTGCTTTATTCAAATCGAGAACCCAACACAGGAGGACCAGGGATGTTCGTAGACCGACAAACATTATACGTTGCTCACCCTTCTTCAAAGACTCGACGATTGTGGCGTAAACCAATTATGCAGCTGATATCCTACTTGGAGGGTGCTGCGGCTCCAGGACGGGGACACGGTGCGCGTGGGCGTCCTCGATGGTGGCATCGACGACGCGGCAGCGGTGCGCTGGCTGTGGCCCGACGGGCGCGAAGACGACGGCGGAAGGTGGAGCGGCCGGGCCTCTCAGGAGCAGCGCCCCGAGCGCCTGCGGCAGGAGACCTTGCACCAAGCGCTGGAGCTCGAAGAGCACCTGCCACAAGCTCTGGAGCTGACCTTCGATGAGGGCGCACAGAACGGCATCCCGCCCCCTCGTGTGGACCTCTTGCTGGCCTCGCCAGAGCCTGCGAGGCTCCAGCGGCTGTTGCCCATGCTGACCCAGCTGGGGCTGGGCACCGTGGTCCTCTGCACCGTGGCCCGGGTCGGTGCGCGCGGGGGCCTCGGCGCGCACTGGCTTCGGAGTTCGGAGGCCGTCCGGGAGCTGCTGGTGCCTGGGCTCGCGCAGTCGGGGGATGTGAGGGTGCCCAGGGTGGTGGTGGGGGGGCGGCTTCGCCCCCTGCTGCAGCGGGGCGACCTGGAGTCAGCCCTGCAGGCCAGCGGCGCTCGAGCGGCGCGCTTGTACGTCAGCCCGCGGGGCCCGAGGTTCTGCGAGCTGCCAGCCACCGCCGCGCCGCAGGGGGGTCGCCTGCTCGTGGCCGTTGGCCCCGACGGGGGCTGGAGGGACCCAGAGGAGACGGAGATGCTGTCGGAGGCGGGCTTCTTGCCAGTCAGCACGGGCCCTCGCTGCTTCAACGTGGAGGTCGCGGCGTGCACTGCCCTGGCGCTGTCCTCTGGCGCGATCCGCCGCTGGGACGACGCTCGCTGAATGGCAGCTCCCGTTCGCGGGCTCGAGGCTGCGCTGGTCGCAGGACCCCTCTCCAGGCCTCCGACGTCATCTTGTCCACGACTGGGGCCGCAGACCTCTCGATTCCTGCCCTGGAGCCAGTTTCGTCGCGGGCCGTGTTTTCGAGGCGCCAGGGCCCCAGACCCGCCTCCAGAGGCCGAGATCACGGAAGTGTTGCTCCCGACTTTCGAAGCCTAGGTCGCAGCGGCAGACGGAGGCGCTCCCCACCGAGGCTGAGCCTTTCTCCTCAGAAGGCCCCTTGTGCACAGTGCGGTGGTGGTGCACAGCCGCTTTCAGCGCACTTCTCCCGGAGAGCTGCGGGAGGGGAGCAAGCTGGGCCACACCGCCGCGGGCGCCAATGTCCGCGCTTGCGGCCGCCGCGGGCGCGGAAAGCCCAGTGGTGACGCGGACGCGGCGGCCGAGGCCGCGGCAGATCCAGCGGACGCGGACGCAGACATTGCGCGGCCGCGGCGCAGAAACGGGGAGCGCGTGTCCCTTGCCAGGTGGAGGGCGAGGAGGAGAAGGCAGCAGAGCAGCGACACTGGGACCGATCCGTGGCCACTCGTTGGCCCTGACAGCCATGCGGTTCAGAAAATGGCCCGGATGAGTACCCAGGCCTTCAGAACGGCCAACGGGCGCCCAGCCGCCGAAACGATTTGCATTGGAGGAGGAGGACCTCGGAACCCAGACCTTGCGGACATCGGCATGCATGCGTTGCGTCCTTGCAGGCTGCCCTACCTTTCACCGCCTCTGTGCCGATCTTTCTTCACCGCTGTGTGCTGAGGTCCTTTGTGTCTGCTGCTTCGCCTGAGCCAGATTTTACCGCTGTTGCATACCATCCAGACGGTACGATCCAAGTGGATCTAACTTTGCCTAACGTCAATAAGAACTCCGACAAAAAGTCCTGCGGGAAGCGTCGGGGAACCGCAGGAGGCATGCTGGGGACCCCAGGAGATTTCAGAATGCTGGGCCTCCGCCCATCAAATGGGCGCCCTGGGCAGCTCTTGGTCGCGCCAGTGCGTTGGCCCCTTTTCATGCGATTCGTCGTGCCAGCATCATGCTGCGGGACGGCCAATGGTGGCTGAGGCGGATCCCCCTCCCGCCCGCACGCGAGCACCGTTATTGCTGTTGCAGCCCGGGGGCAAACAACCCAGTTCCAGGTTCAACATTTTCTTTAAAAAAACAAAAGAGTACGAGCCCTGGGAGGGCACTTCACTTGGAAAAAGAACATGGGCGATGGACGGGGGGGATCACGGAATTGATCAGCAAGGTATCATGGACGGAGTTGTGGGTCACGTATTTGATATAACACTGCTTGCGTGCTTGGCACGACGCCCAGCGGCGTGAGCAATTCATCAGAGCGGTTCAGTTCCTAACTGTTGATTGGTGATGATGTTTATTTCAAGGATGCGTCTCCTGATGTTTCTTGGCTGTGTTGCCCTCGTCGGCGTTGTCTATACCGCTGGTTCATCGTGTCACGGCAGTGGATTTATGCACGCGCAGGCGTAAATGGAATGCCCCATTCCCCCTAGCCAGAAGCCGAGACTCTTTTCAGGAGCTCCCAGGTTCCAGCTTGATGGAGCAGCACGCAGGGCACTAACAACAGCAGCATTCACGCCGCATCGAATTCAGCTACAGCTTCAGGACACTTACCAGCATCACGACCAAAAACTTTACAGCGCTCTGCCGCTAGGCATGAGGTCTGAAAACTTACAACAAGGTCATGGATGCGCGGCGGCACTGCTTTCTGAGCAGGAAGTGTGGCATCGATCTCGATCAACAATTGCGATGGTTCGTGCCTGCATCCATTCGGCATCCGAACAAGACCCTTCGGAAGTCTCGGGGTTTGGAGGCGTCGCGCACGATCCCCCCGAGCATCCTCGGGTAGATCAGCTGGCGTAGGAAGGCGACTCGTGCCCTTGGGAAGTTTGTTTTGCGATGCGCTCGTATGGTATTGTGAAGAAGAAGCGCACGAAATGAGGTTGCTACTGTACTACTGATGCTGCGTCAACAGGTGCCAATCCTCACTCTCATACACCCCCGGATACAGCAATAACCCGATGCAGTACAGTTTGATGTGTTTCGGGTCGGGTGCAAGGTACCACAATCGTACTGTATGCATTGACCAATCGGTCAGCCTCCACCCAATTCAGCAGCTGTGCATATCAGAGGCGCGAGGATGTTTGGCGATCCGTGTTCTCAGGGTTTGGCCCGAGCATGCTCTAGGAATGCCCCCGAAGGAATACTGTCCATGTGGTGGGAGATGGCGCTTCCAAGCAGCTCTTGGATTAATACGTGGGCTTCTCAGAGCGGTCGCGAGAATATTGGTGGATCGCATACACATCGCCGAGGGGAGAGTGCTGTACCTCATCCTCGCTGCTCAGATTGAGGGCAGATGAACAATTCCATGCGCATGCACCGGGGTTAGCAGGTGGACGGAGGAATTGGAGGTGAAGGGTCTAACGGAGACGGGGGAATCGATGGTGTCTCCGGTGCGAGGAGGAAACGGAAATTAAAATAGTGGTAGTTTGGTTGGGACTCGTTTGCACGGAAATTGGTGGAGCAAGGTCTTTGCTCCCGTCGGTAGTTCGCCCGAGTGCTTTGAGAGTTGCCGCGGCCTCTTCCTTGCTGGGTCCGCGGCGGAGGGCTTCACCAGCGCGCACTACTGACAATTGTGGAATACTATAAGGAAGAATCCTGTGGACACCCATAAGTCGAACCGCAGTCGGAATTCTACTCATAGCATTTGTGTTTCGCAGGGGTCGGAGTCGATACGGGAATCTATGTGTAGAGACTAGGTACCAGTCTTCGATCAAAAGTCGTTGCGAATATGTTGCGCACATTCTTGTCTTGTTTCAACAACGCCGAAAAAGAAGCCGGATTGCTGTCGATCGCCATGATGAGTTTCTCAGCGCTCCAGGCTTCTCCGCGCTCGGACTGAATTGCTAATACCGATATTGCGACTGGATGTTGTGGTGGCTCCGGACCGGGAATCTGATCTTGAGTTCGGTTTGTTACATGTTCTTTCAAAGTTGCGCCAGTCTTGCCACGACACCGCCAGAGTCGGAAAGAAAGTGGGATGAACGTCGCATGCATTGCCACGCCAGAGTCACACCAGGACGTTGTACGATGCTTGGCGGCATGAGGGCTAACACCTCGGATTTAGACAACGCATCAGAAGGCCACGTTCGGGTCCCGTGCCGGAGTCGTAATGGGAATGGCATGCGGTAAGCAATACCGTGATCGGACCTGAATCGGAACGAGAAGTAGTGCCATGGTGATACCGGATATCCCGCCATGTTAATCGAGATTCAGTTGAGAGCCCGCAGTGGGAACATTCCCATTTGCGATCCGATTCAAAAGGCGGTTCGATCCCAGCGTCATCTAGAATAACCGAAACCAATTGGTAATTAACGACCTCACGGGTATGTCCAGGATCGTAGCCGACTGGTTCGCCCCGTAAATTTGCTCAACGGTTTCAGTGAACGAATATTACGGGAGAATGTGTTGGGAGACCTAGACGGCGCAATATCAGCATCAGCATGCAGCCCGCAGAGCGGGAGCCACGGCAGGCCCCCCCTTTCGAGAAGTTAGCCCGCAAATCCCGCAACGACGACGACGACGACGACGACGACGACGCGACAATGGAGGAGTAGGAGGACGACGACGACTACGACGACTGACGCCTTCGAAGGCCGCATTGGGGACCCCATCAGGGACGTCCTGAATGTCTCTTGGTCCGCAGTTGGGCATTCTTGAGGCAGTCTTGGGAGGCTCTTCGGCGTCCTTGTGGCCGCCTTGGGCTCCTCCTGGGGCTCTCTCGGGGCAAGTTGGGCGCCATCCTCAGACCTCAAAGGCGCATCGGAAGCGCAAAGGCAAGAAGACGAAAACATGTGATTTCCCAGATGTGTCCTGTTTGAAGTATTCGCACAAATCGGTGACCTCCGTGGGCGGCTGCGAGGCCACTTGAAGCCGTCGTGGGGCCATCTTACTTTGGGGGATAAGTTTGGGGCCTTTTGGAGCCACCTCGGCCCATTCTGAAGCGTCATGAGCTTATTGACGTTCCCCCTCCTGCTATCGATGTAATGTGCACATGAATGCGACAACGATCCTAAGATCTTACACGGCACAATGCTTGCTGGGGGGTTGTTGATTTCCGCGAACTTAGCCCGACAGTGTGGTATTCTTGGGGTCCAGGAAGGTTGTGGGTGGGAGTTTCTTTGGGGGGCTCTGTGCAGCTATATTGAGCCATCTTGGAGTATAGTGTACCACGTGTGATTCCATATTAAGCCGCCTTGGAGCCCCAGTGGCCCATCTTGAAGTCTATGTTTGGGCGTCAGGGCCGTCTTCAGGCCATCTTGATGCCCGCGTTCGCGCACCGAAGCTTCTTGTGAAGGTCTGGTGGTGATGGTGGTGACGGTGGTGCTGGTGCTGGTATTGGTGCTGGTGCTGGTGCTGGTGCTGGTGCTGGTGCTGGTGCTGTTGGTGCTGGTGCTGGTGCTGGTGCTGATGCTGGTGCTGATGCTGGTGGAGGTGGTTTTGGTGGTGGTGGTGGTGGTGGTGCGGGTGGTGCGGGTGGTGCGGGTGGTGCGGGTGGTGCGGGTGGTCGCGCCTGCACGGTTCGAGTTTGCGAGGAGAGGTTTTTTTCTTCCGCTCTCCATCTCCCTTCGCCGCCACCTTGCGGACAAGATGTTTTCCGAGCTTTGCGCCAGGGCTGGCAGTGACAGATGGCGGACGGCCAAGCCAGGTAGGTCGGTTCGCCCGCTAAGCGCTGTTCGTTGCCTCTTGTTGGCCACCAGTCTGGGTTCAATGGCCCTTCCAGGCCGCCGCATGCCTGCAGTAGTTCTCGTTGCCGTCCCACTTGGCGGGGGTCATTGACTTTCTGTGTATATTCAACTGCTTGATGTAATCGCTAACCTTTCTCACCACCCAGAGATGTGCTGGCTCCATCTCTCTTGCTTTTGGACTTTGCATCTGCTGTCTCTCTCTCTCTCTCTCCCGCTACCCCAGTGAGGGCTCAAGCCTTTCTGGGTCAAGCTGTGGGTCGGCGTCACTTGGCCCGAGGCCTGGGACTCCGGAGGCCCACTCCAGAGACCCACAAGAATCTGGGAGCTCCCAGAAGCGGGCGCTGGCCGCGCGATGTCGCGCCGCGATGCGCCTGGTTGCTGGGTGGCGGACACGCAGCCCCCGCCAACTGCCGCTGGTGGGCGGAGAGGAGTGGCGGGCCGTTGCGTAGCAGCGGCGGCCGCCCGCCGCGCAGCGTCGCGGGGGGGTCAGCCAGGCCCACCAGCTCGCCGGGCGGCGGGCTGTTGTTGGCGACCGGGCTCCTCAGCGGCACACCGCTGGTCGACGCATGGGGGCTGCCCGGCCTGCACACCCCAGAGGCGCCGCACGAGCACCACTCGTTCTCGCACGACGATTCGGAGACCCCGTGGACGTCGAGGACGAACCCTGGCGAGCTTGGGCC